AACCTCGCCAGCATTTGTTGCTTGCTGTTCTGTTAAATTTTGCTATTTTGACTGGGGTGAGATGATATCTCATAGTTGTTTTAAGATTTACATCTCTCTTATTGCCAGTGATTTTTAGCATTTCCTCATGAGCCTGTTAACCAATCAAGTATTTTCCTCTGTTAAAAGACTTTTCAGGTCTTTTGCCCATTTTTTGATTGGGTTATGAGTCTTTTTCTTGTGGAAGCCCTGTACTATCAATGAGACCTTTGTCTGAGCTGTCATTAACAAATGTTTCTTCCCAGTCTGTAGATTTTCTTTTCACTCCATTGGGAAAAGGTTTTGATGCACACAGGGACTTGATTTTTAGAAGTTTCTATTTATGTGCTTCTGGTTTTACGTGCAAGCCTATATTGTATTTCCTTATGGAAATTGTGTTTCATAAAATCTTTCATATACATTAAATTTTATATAATTAATTACTATTACTACCTTATCACCCTGTTTTTCAGAGTCCCCGTTGAATCTTTACTATTTTTTCACTCCCCATTGAAACTTTCCTATTCCTTAGGAAACTAGACCCTCTAAGTTTGATCCTGTCTTGTCTCTGATAATCCTTGTAGTTTGAAGCTTGATCCCTGGGTCTCTGTTCCACCTTGAATTGATTTTGTGTGTGGTGTGAGATGTGGATCCCACTTTCTGCTTTCTGCAGGTAGATGTCCAGTTCTGGTAGCATCATTTTTGAAGAAGTTATCATTTCCCCATTTTATATATTTTGATTCCTTGTCAAATACCAATTGATCATGGGTAAACATTCACAGTATACATCACAGTGACACATAACAACATACTATATTGGTTGGGTTCTTTTTTTTTTAATTTAAGCCTTTTGTATAGCATCAATGAGACCTAGGAGAGGGTCTTTGTATTTAAATTTGGTTCTTTTTTCTATTTTGGAGGAACATTCTTCAAAGTGGTACAGCCCTCTTCAGTCATCATGCTGTACTGAGGTAACCTGGGGTTGCTGTGATGCTGAACCTTGTACCTTTGCGGTGTCAAATGGAATAATGGTTACCCATGGTGGACAGCGTTTGAAGGAGCTCCCAGTTTAAGACCGGTTTGGTAGCAGAGTGGCATCCACTTCCTAAACAACATGGCTCTGGACACTCTATGAACTTTGATAAATGATGGTAGTTATCGAAAGGCTTCATTTAGGTCTTTTGTTTATAGGGTTGCTACGAGTTGTGCTAGACTTGATGGCAATTGACAACAACATTCACTCCCTGAAGTTTTCTTTAAACCAAAACAAAGTTTAAGAGCTATTTTTTTAAGTTGATATTTTAATGAAAGTTTATAGAGAATTTGGATTTCCGTTCATTCATTGTTGCATATTTTCCTCCCTGCCCCCTCTACTCCCAGTTCGCTTTTGTCTTTGGGGGAAAAATTCTTTTCTTGTTATACAGTCTCCCTCCCCCCAGTCCACTTTACTATGCAGCTATTATTCTGGACTCTTGTCATGCCAATAATACCAAATCATATATTACTTTTACACAGTTCTCTCCCTTGTCTGTTTCAATGCCATGTACATTATTTAGCCTCTTTTTTTCTTAGTTTTCCCCTAACCTCGATATCAGTCCTATTTTATAACAATGGCATTATGCAGTATTTGTCCTTTTGTGACAGATATATTTCACTCAGCATAATGTCCTCTATGGTCACCCATTTTGTATAATATTTTATGAGTTCATTGTTTTTCAGTGCTGCATAATATTCCATTGTATGAATATACCACAGCTTCTCTATTCGTTCGTTGATGGATAGTTGAGTTGTTTCCAACTCTTTGCTGTTGTGAACAAAGCAGCAATAAACACTGGTCTGCATATATCTGCAGTGATGGAATTGCTGGGTCAAATGGTATTTCTATTTACAACTTTTTGAGAAGGCACCATACAGCCTTCCATAGTGGTTGCACCATTTTACATTCTCACCAACTGTGAATAAGGGTTCCAGTTTCTCCACAACCTCGTCAGCATTTGATGTTTGCTGTTCTGTTAAAGTTTGCTATTCTGACTGGGGTGAGATGATATCTCATACTTGTTTTGATTTGCATCTCTCTTAGAGGTAGGGATTTTGAACATTTCTTCATGTACTTGTTGGCCATCTGAATGTCTTCTTTGATGAAGTGTCTGTTCATATCCTGTGCCCATTTTTTGATCAGGTTGTTTGCCTTTATCTTGTGGTGGTGCTCGAGTATTCTATAAATTCTAGATATAAGTTCCTTATCAGACAAGTAATTACCAAATATTTTTTTCCCCAGTCTGTTGCTTTACCCTGTTGGAGAAGATTCTGGATGTGCATAGGGATTTGATCTTAGAAGGTCCCATTCATCTATTTTATCCTCTCCTGCTTGTAAAGAGCTATCTTTTAAGAGCTGTTTATGTGAGATCAAGTTAGCCATAGCAACTTGAATGTCTTAATAGGAACCTTAGTAGATGTAGTGATTTTATATTAATTAAATTAATATTAATTTAGTCAGAAACTAAAGAATGGTGACACAAAACTTAGAGAATATAATCAGTGGCACTGAGCTGTACATGTAGAGAAAATGGAACTGTGTATTTTGCTATATATATTCCCAACTGCAACAAAATAATTTTTTAAAAGGCCCTTGGAAGACATTCTATTCTGAAATAACATGTGGATTGTCATGGATCGGAACCAGCTCACGGACAATGAGTATCTTTTAGTCAATTGAAGACAGTGTTTCATAATTTGCTTGTATTTTTAATGACTAAGGAGATGGCACATTGTATTCTTATTAAGTATAACTGTGGTCTCTGTGAAAACGTATTGCATGTATATGGTTGCTAATGGTAAGCTGCACAGTTGAACATTGCTTAAACATGTGTTGAATCAGAGAATGCATTAAAATCATTTGCATTTGATTCTCCATTATCTATGAAGAGAAAACAGAGGTAGAGCTTGAAGAGTCTTAGATTCAGTTAAGCTTTACTTAAAGCTCATTTTAAGATGAGCTGCGTTTGTCCCTTTTATATGCTGCCCTTGCTGACTCGCCTTTTTCTCTCCTTGGCTAGAATGTGGTTTCCTCTAGCTGCACTAGAGATTGCTGGGGAAGCAGTGGATAGACTGTAGGTTGCAACCTGAAATAAAATAATAAAACCATTGTTAGGTGCCAGTAAGTTGCCTCTGACTCATCGGGACTCAGAAGGGAACCAGAGACGGCAGAAGGAAACCCTGCCCATCATCTCTGCCCTTGCTAAAACCCATGGTTGCAGTCGGTGGGTAAATCCACCTTGTCGAAGGTCTCCCTCTTGTACACAGGGTCTCTATGAGTCTCAGACAACTCAATAGCACATAACAAGAACAACTTCTTTACCGAGCATGACGGTTTTCTCCAGGGACTAGTGAAATTTCACTACTCCTGCTTCTGAGAAGGGCTCCTACTGCAAAACTCTCAAGGCATGTGTCTGTCCTGTTAGCAGGTTCATAGTATGCCCAATGTTCTTCACAGACACTACAACTGAAAGGTAACAGAAAAGAACAATCGAGTGGAAAGTGTGTGGCATTGTTTGCTACCCTCGTGTTAGTGTTTTTGCTCTGTTTTGTTTTGAAATGTTACAGGCTGGAACCAACGGTTACATGGCTCCCGAAATCCTGATGGAAGGCGTAAGTTACTCGTATCCTGTAGACTGGTTTGCAATGGGATGCAGTATTTACGAAATGATTGCTGGACGAACACCATTCCGAGATTACAAGGAAAAGATCAGCAAAGAGGAACTGAAGCAAAGAACCTTGAAAGAGGAGGTTGTATTTCAACATGAAAACTTCACAGAGGAAGCTAAAGATATTTGTAAACTCTTCTTGGCTAAGAAACCCGAGCAACGCTTAGGAAGCAGGTAAGCTACACGTGGCAGAAATCACTACCAATGTCAGAATTACCGACAATGACTTGGGGTATGTTCTGGATGAGCAGCAAAGCCTTGGAATGACAGGGTTTTTATTTTCCCGTATCATTTGCATGTTGTTGTTGTTATTGGTATGTGCCGTCGCGTCGACTGCGACTCATAGCAACCCTGTTTGAAACAGCCGTAAACCCTGCTCTATCCTGAGCTAATATCAACGTATCCGACACACCTACCCCCATTACCCAGTCACTGAATCAATCCATCTCATCGAGGGTCTTCCTCTCTTGTGCTGCCTCTTCACCCTTCCAAGTATGACGTCCTTCTCCAAGGACTGGTCCCACCTTGAAACATGTCCAAAGTATGTCAGACAGAGCTTCAGAATCCTTGACCTCCAAGGAGCAGCCTAGTCTCACCTTCTCTGGGACAAACTTGTTTATTCTCCTAGCCGTTCATTATATATTCAATATATTGTATAGTTAAGCATTTTTCAAATGCTGTCAGTATTTGCTATTAAATACTCTCAAATATATCATTTTTAAAGTAAAATAATAAAAATAAATCTATCAGAAAGTTGCATCCCCACAGGGCTAGACCTCCTCCCTCCTTGAAAGGGAATAAGGAGAGGAAAACTCAAAATATATTTTTAATGTGAAAAATAAGGTCTAAAATAGCATGTATGAAAAAAGAAAAAGAACACTATTTCATCCTTACTGGATATATAGTTCTAATTCATAGCCAACAATTCACAGTAACAATTCAAATTGCACAGGATATTTTAGGAAAAGCATCCAAAGAATTCATAGGTTTGGTTGTCTTTAAGGAAGGAAATAAGAGCAAGGACAGAAATAGAAATGAGCCTTGACTATAGACCCCTTTTGTCTTTTGATTTCAAACCATGTGAATAAATTATCTAAAAAAGAAAATTAAAACCAATAGTCATAACTCAAATAACTATGCCTTTTCCTAACTACTTCATAGAGTGTCATATCTCTCTATCTCTGGGTGTGTGTGTGTGTGTGTGTGTGTGTGTGTGTGTGCATGTATGAGAGAGAGAGAGAGAGATGCAGAAGAGAAAGAGAGAGAATCAACTCATGGCTAATCCTTCATTGGGTTTCTGAGAATATAAAGCACATGGGATGAAAGTGCCCATTGTTCTCTTGCAGAACTTCTGGTGAATTCAAACCACCAGAGAGATCGATACACCTTTTGGGTTAGCAGCACAACCCCCATGGACGATGTCACTAGAGTTCCCATATATATGTGTACGTATATCTACTTACATGATGGCCTAGTGGTAAAAAGTTGCACTATACACATTATGACATGTTATTAAAATCCACCACTTACTCTTTGGCAAAAAAGATGGGCAATCTCCACCTGTGAATGTAAAGTTTCTGAAAATCTACTGGAGGGTCAGC